GCGGTTGTTGAGCCCCTCCCTCTCGCGGCGGGAAGGTGGGACGAAGCCAGCGGGGACGCGGAGCAAACCTCCGCCGAGCGGGGACGTCCCTGAGAGCCAACGCACCCGGAGGTCCGTGCACCGGGACGGAGAGCGAAACATGCCACGGACAAGACACTAAAGCAAATTGATAACAAACTGACCAACAAGAAAAGATGATATCAGGGAGGTGAATTTATAGCCCATCCTTCAAAGTTATAAAAATGCTTTTGGACTATGCGGCGATTACTCATGCGAAACCCATCAAGTTATCCTTTCTTCCACATTATTGACAAGGGCTATTAATCTTCTCCCTCAACTTCGGGCCTTTCCCTGCATTCATCTCTGAAGGCACAGACAAGCCACTCTATCTTGTCAAGATAATTACCCATTTAAAAAAAGGGTGTAATAGACTGCCCAGGGGACCTGAGCCCGCGGGGACGTCCCAGCCCTGCTGCCACCCCCGGCACCGTCCTGCCGAGGCTGCTGAGCACAGGCTGCAAGGGCTGGATTTTCCTCCCCAACACCCCTCTGGTGAGCGGCATCAGCCCGGCACGGTGGGAGAAGCCGGCTCCGGTGCCGAAGCCGAGCAGAGGAGCAGATGTGTCCGGGGCTGTCCCTCGGGCACCTTGCCCCAGGCCCCAGCTGCTTTTCGCAGATGGGAATTAGGCTGGTGCACAGAGGGGGCAACGCGGAGCAGGAAGCCAAGGCTCGCGGTGGCACGTTCCTGACACAGAGACAATAAATCTCCGCCAAACTCACAGTAGATTAGGGCCACAAAAGGGATGTGACCCCGCTGATTATAATAGCTAGGTTGTGCATCGTTCTACAGGGCTGATAATTAATTTTCAAGTGCACGATGAGCGTGTGCGGGCACCCCTCAGAGGACGGACGCAGCGATCTTCTCAAGCGGTGGATGAGACGGGATTAGCATCAATTCCCATCACATCGCCACGCTGGCTTTCGGCAGGAGTTAATCAAAATCGCTCACAGTGAGTAAGCTGGGGGATGGTGTCACCTCTGAATCTCCAGATCTCACGGGCGCTGGCAGCAGCACCCAGCACTGCGTTTATGGGCTGGGTGAGCCCATCCGGGGAGCAGGGACTGTCCCCCCGCGAGGGATGCTCGCTGCATCATCTCTCTGCACCCAGGGCTTGAGCTGCCCTCGCCGCGAGGCTGGCAGCGCCCGTTTGGATAGCCGGTGGATCGGAAGGAAAGCGGAGCAGAGGCATCGCTGGGCCAAACTCTGCCTGCTCAGACCCAGCCTCGGCCAACAGGAGCCTTTTATCATCTTGACTGCCGGGCGAGCAGAGCAAACCCTCGCCCGTTGGCCTGGCTGGGGCACGCTGTGCTGGAAAACAGCCAGCGCCACAAAAAATCCCAACCCTGTATTAAGAAGAGACCAGAGAGGAGCAAAACAGAAAAGGAAAAGAATATGAGAAATCACAAACAAAGAAGGAAAATCAAATAAAAGCTCCTCTCCTCCCTGCCCACGTTGCTGCTCTGCATCTATCCGCAGCCTGGTCAGGCGGAGGTGAGCACGCAGAGAAATCCTCAGCCCTGCTCCAAAGCAGAGTTACCATCCAGCCCTGCCAAACGAAGACCATTAATTAGCTCTCCTGGAAAAAGAGCAGCCCGCAGGGCCTGGGAGCATCCTGTGGTCCCCGTGCGGGTGGCAGCTGGGGGGACACAGCCCGAGCCCATGCCCTTGCCACCCCATCATCCTGGCAAGCCCGGTGCTGCCATCAGCTCCTCCGTCTCCACTCACAGCACCCCCGCGCCTCCCCGTCTGCATCCGCACGTGTGTGAATTACTAACGAAGCGGCGGCTGCCAGGATCCTTTCCAGCCCGACCGGGCTCCCCCCGGGAACCTCCCGACCCGGGAGGGCTGGGGACGTGTGCGGTGGAGGGAGCTTGGAGGTGGAGAAGGATGCTGAGGAGCTCCTGCTGCAAAAGAGGCTAGGAGACAGGTTTTGGCCCAATCCTGGTCCCAGCAGGACAGCCTGGGGACGGAGCGCACACATCCTGCATGGTGCTAGGCTCCTGGGGACAACACGAGCGGCTGCCAGCGGGAATCACCCCAAAACCTGGTGCCCGGCCCAGCCCTCACCCCTCACCTTCCTCCCAGCTCTCCCACACGCGAACGAGAGCCAGGAGCTGTCCTGTTCAGTGGCGGGACCCTTCGCGTTGCTTTTTTGGATGGAAAAGCAAGCAAACGGCAGCATTTCTCCACGCACGTTGGGCTCCAACCAAACCTGAAGCTCACGGGGAAAGTCAGTACGATTCCCTCTCGAGAACAGCCCCAAACGCGACATTTGCATAAGCCGTGCGAAGCAGGAGCGCGTGGAACTGCACAGGCAGGTTATTTGCTTCATCGTGCGTTATTTCCCCTCTCCGTTTATCTGCCAAGCAAACGTTCACGAGATAATTTATTTGCTGACAAATTCAGGTAATTTAAAGACAGTTCCTAGGACATTTGCCATGTCGCGGTTTCAGCTGCCTCCACTGATACCTTGGCCCTGAAATATTGCTTGTTTAAATGCTACATTACTACGAAGATGAAGAGATCAGCGGTTTGCAGGACCTGCTCATGCATTTCCTGGTGCCAGGGATTTCTTGATGTAATTGGGGAAGATCAGGAGCTCTCAGCTAGCCAAGGCCATGGCCACGGGCGAGTTTTCTTGCAAGCCCTTGCTGCTTACCGAGCTCACGCCTATGCATTAGCCACAAGGCTACTTGGGGAAGCTGCAGTGCTGGAAAGCTCGTGCAGGGCCGGAGAGGTGTCCCCAGATCATCAGCTGGACGTTTGGGGAATGCCTGCAAGGGGGAGATGTGGCAGCACCATCCCTCTTGTCCTCAGCAGCGAAAGGGGGGGCAGAAGAACCACCTTTAATGATCAAACTTTCCATCCGCCCGCACGCCACGGCTTCCACAGACGTCCCTCCCAAGGGGACGGGGGGGGGACACGCGCAGACGTCCCACGTCCTGCCACGTCGCAGCCTGTGAGCCGCTGCGTCGTTATCTGTCTTCAGCCGGTGCCAGGCAGGCAGAGCAT